AATGAGTCATTGAACAGCAAAATCAAGTTGAATAATCCGGATAATTATGTAATTTTGAAATCTGAATATGCCCATCACTAATCAATTAATTTTAATTTTTAAACTAAAGGAGCTAAACATGATCTGCTGAGCAAAAATTTGGTATGTTACACAGTTGTAAGACRGAGAAAATATATGTGGGTATGGCGTCTTCTTAAGTCAGTTCAAAATCAGGTCAATCATTGATAACATATAATATGAAATGGCTGATGAGCATGACCATACAAAAACACATTGTATTTGAAGCTACCAACGGATGCATCTAATTATAAATTTAATTTCACAACAATTTAAGAAAACAACGTACAGTATTGCCAGCAGTAGTGCACTCTTAAATGGTGCAACCTGACCACTAAAAAACAATTAGCAAAGAAGATTGATCTCATTTTTACCAGACTATAAATTTGTGAATTTTACATTTCATATTTAACCTACATATGAAAATACATAACTGGCATTTTAACAGACCTTGTTGCTTCATCTAATATAAGTATAGCTGGATTTTTCAAAATAGCTCTAGCAATGGCAATTCTTTGTTTTTGTCCTCCCGAAACTGTTACACCTCGTTCTCCAACAATTGTATTATAGCCATTGGGAAAAGAAGTGATAAAAGAATCAGCATTTGCTATTTTTGCAGCTTCAATAACCTATGATTTTTCAAATTACAATTAAGACTTTAATTGTCAACTTAATCAATATTTATTTTTTTTACCTCAATGTCTGTTGCTTCAGGCTTTCCATAGCGTATGTTTTCTAGGATAGACATAGCAAACAATATTGGTTCTTGATTAATTAATCCAATTACTCTTTTGCGCAACCAAGTCTGATCAAGCTTTTTAATGTCTATGCCATCTATTATTATACTTCCCGAGTTAACATCATAAAATCTTTGAACAATTTAAAAAAAAAAAATGTATTTTATTAAAATAAAACAATTAAAAACAACAAAAATACATACCTCATGAGAAGTGCAGCAATAGTAGATTTACCATTGCCAGAAGATCCAACAACAGCAACCACTTTTCCAGGAGGGAGAGTAAGATTGAAATTTTTTAATATAACCTATCAAATCATATTTAAGCATGAAAAGGTATCTTCTGAATTGAAAAATGCGCTGAGATAGGAATGTATTGAAGTTCAGATACTAAAAATTTGGATAGGGCTGGAGTGGATTTGGTCCTCTAATTAAAAATTTAATTCTTTGTATTAAATAATCATGTTTAAAAAATATTATTTAGACACTTAGTTCCCACAAAAAATATGTAATAATTGTGTTTATGGTAACTTAATTATTACATAATAGTGTTTGAGTGTTTGTCATGAAATTGAATTCCATAAATCTGTCTTTTTACTATCTCACTTTCAATACATTATTATGACTCAAAATATTGTACCCTAATCATGTAAAAGTATTAATATTCATTATTCTGTTTATAACAATGTCAACATTACTTGTTCAGGCCTGGTTGGATATGAAAATGTAATATCTTTAAACACAATTTCTGGTTTAAAAGAATGATGTGGAATCTTAATACCCTCATTAATCAGTGTTTTAGGACTCTTGTTAATATACTGAAAAACATAAATACATGCAATTAATTTAAAGAAGAAAAAATAAAAAATAAACAGTTTTAAAAATTCTGACTATACAGTAACTATAGACTATTCAGTTTGATAACGCCTAAACCTGCATATGTATACTGAACAAGAATATTCATTGCTTTACAAGATTAAAYAGCTATGGTTGTTGGTAGTTTACTTATGGTACACAACAGTGTTTACCTTGGCAACAGGTATGAGCGAACACTTTAGGGTTTTGCCAGTCAAGTGGGATTTTATCTTAAATAAAATATAGGTTACGAAGCTCAATAGCAAAAACCTGAAAAATGTTTATAGCTTACTTCAAATATTCTGGACCCTGCAGCAACACCTTTTACATAATGACCGAATAATAATGAAAATTGCCCTAAGGAATGTTGAAGCATTTGGGTAACCATAAGAAAAGACATAAGCTGTCCAGGATCAAGACTACTTGTTGTCATAAGTTGTCCACCAAGGAATATTGTTCCCAAAACAATGCCATTGAGAAACACATTACTACTAGCCTAAAAGAAAAAATAAATTTGAACGATTTAAATTTTTTAAGAATTTATTGATGTACATACTTGGAAAAGCCCAATACCATAACCCAACTTTTTATGTAATAATCCGTTATTTTCAATTTCTGTCAAAAATCTTTCACATTCTGTAGATTCAGAAGCAAAGGCACGAACAGTTCTCATATTTCCAATTACTTCTTCAGCTATAATTGTGGATTTAGTACTCTGTTTACATAATAAATAAACATAATATACATATACCATTTTATTTTATTTAAATGTAAATACTTGTTCTTGAGCCAGTTTGCTAAGTTTTCTCAAAATAGAACCAAAAAATGTGCCTATAACAATAATAGTTGGTAAAATAATAGCTACAGCTCCAGTCATTTCTGGTGATGTGTTATATAGAGCATATACTCCGCCAATTAACTAAATTATAAACAATAAATNAATTAAAAATAAAATAAAGAGAATTAATTGGCGGGTATTAACTAAATATGAGTTGTAAGGGAATATATTCTATGTAGGTGTCAATTAAACAATTACCCATTTCTTATTTAMAGTAATTTTATTTTTAAATATAAGTTTTTATCAAATAGGTACTCAACCTTCAATATGTATAATCAGTAAAATCTTTAAAAAAAGAAACAACATTAAAGTAAATTATGAATAAAATTAATAGAAATCTATGCTTATATTCATTAGATTAGTAACTACATTTGTTTTGGAAAACATTAAAAATTAAATTTATGTATAAACTTTGAGGATTATCATTAAATTCATTTATGCATTTATGAATTTTAAGTATTATTTTAATTACTTACTTCAACAATTTCCCCTTTATTCAAAACTACAATCACATCTGCATTCTTCACAGTGCTCAATCGATGAGCAATAACTAAAACTGTTTTTCCATTCGATACAGATTCTAATGCTGATTGCACATGCATTTCAGACTCTGTATCAAGTGCACTATAAGTAAAAATATAAACATTTTTCATAACTATAATGTATTTGTTTTGTTGTATAATAATTTACAACTCTAATAATATAAAATAAAAAATAGAATTTTTAATTCATAACATATTCAACCAGATCATTAATAAACTAGCATACAGTTTATTAGGAAACTCTCACTATCACTAGAACAWATGGTGTATCATCAATTTTTATTATATTAATATTGATTTTATTAATAATACTTATATTAATTGTTGCTTTTGAAACCGGTAGTTAGTTTCGTGCTGAAATCAGTAATTACCTTATATAATTAAAAATGCATAACATTGCAAGTTTAAKCTCAGCAGATCACATTTGGCTTAGTTAATTTAAAATTAAAGTGAATTGACCTTTGATAAGGTAAGAACATTATCTGTGTTTGTATGTTAGGTTTTTACGATAGTTCAGTTATTAAGTGCGTTATGAGAATTTATAATTTACATAATATTATATACGCAAAACTTGCTAAATATTAATCTATTGTAAAAACCCAACATTCAGATCATGTTCTTGTCTTAAAATTTATGAATATCTGATATATCCGAATATCCAAATCTGGATTTAGATCAAAATTCTTATCCAGATTTATGAATTTGCTTTTTTTGTGACTTCAGACTTACAATTAATTTTAATATACCTATGGTAAAATAAATTATTTTATTACAATGAAAATGTATCAATAAATTAATAATCAAGTTCTATATTATCCGGTACTTAAAATGTGTTTGAAATTTGATATACCTACTAACTTATGTCCAAAAATTATGTTATAGTATTAAAATATTATTGGTATATAAAGATGAGTCATTGAACAGCAAAATCAAGTTGAATAATCCGGATAATTATGTAATTTTGAAATCTGAATATG